AAATACCTTATAAAAAAATGTAAAAATTAAATGTATGAATCAATGTAATCATGGATCCACTCATATTGCCGGTTTCCTGACCATGTGAGACGAGAAGAACAATGGTTTTCAAGGTCTTTGTCTAGATATAGAATGATTTCATTATCCCATACGTTTGTGTGTATGTGTTGATTTAACGGCTTACATTGATCAGCTGATCGCTACGCCTCTGATAAAGTGCAGTGAGTTTAAGATGTTTTAGATTCACTTTCCCGTTTATCTCTCCTATTCACTCCCGTTGGACATCAACAGATTGAAAGCAGTCTTGAATAGTTGAACAAGTTTGTAACATTGACAACAAAAATGCAGGTTGAAACACAAATGGGATGAAGAGATCAACAGAGGTGTTAATTTCTGGATAATCTCAAATAATACACATTTACCAGTGAAAATGGGGTTTTATCAAAATTAAGTGAATATTTTTTCTACTACCAACATCTTGTTTTTATTTTGCACAGTAAATTACTGACGGAAAATAAAAAGAAAGAAATCCAAGTAATTTAATAGTGTCGACATTATAAAATGGTCGATGAAATATCATTTGAAAATGTAACATTATTTCACTTGATTCTTTATGAACATTAAATGTGTATTTCAACTCGTGGACAGAGTATTTCCGTAATTCAAATATTCTCCATTCTATGACAAATAGCTTGTGTTCATAAGGAAACAAGGGATAATGATATTAACCTTAATTTCTATGAGGATGTAAACTCGCCCTTAAGTCATCTGGTTTAGTTCATATTGGGTCGACGAAACATGATATTGATTACTCATGTTTGTATTGTTCAGTACATGTAAGGAAGTCAAGTATACTCTTATCAATACTGTGACCAATGGCATTGCGCAATAGAATCTCGGAAAGTTTGAGATTCTTATTCTTAAGATAAATATGTGTTGCGGCAACCGGAACGCGTCAGGCTTTCTCCTCGTGGACGGCTGAGAGATGTGTTGTTCGAGAGGAAACACTATAGGAACTGTGCTTGGAAGGACCCGAGCTCAGCTTAGAGCGTTCCCTTCTTAGGGCAGACATTTTCTTCCCCAGCAGGTTGGACTCCTGTCTCTTAAGGGGTAACAGGAACGCGGGGAAATGGAGCTCGCGCAGCCTACGTTTCCTCATCTGATTCATATGACCTTCACGCATTACCTTGGCAAGTTTTGGTTGTACAAGTTTAGCTGCCGTCATCTCAATTTCCGGAAAGATAATTTTCTGGAGTTCTTCACCGATAAACCTATTTGAACCTTCAATGCAAAGAGCGCATGCACTTGGTCCTAGGATTTCACAAAATCCCACAGATTTAGAACAAGTAGGAGGAACGGTCAGGGACGGATAATTGCTTATGGCCACGACACTCGGATCTCGTTCCAAGTCCTTCATTAAGAGACGAAAGGGACTCTGTTCGGATGTTTCTGGTCTAGGCATACCGTATCCCGGATGTGCGCGAGGAGCTGGAGCTTTGTAAAAGTGCTTGAGCACAGCGTGATTGAATTTGGTTTGGGTGTTGTCCGTCAAATGACTACGAGATATGTAGTCCCTCTCACGCTTTTGTTCCACATTGTTGATGACATTCGTTTCGTCTTTTTTCACTAGATGGTTGACCAGGAACGGTAACTCACGTCCAGCAATTTGTTCTTTCTTCAATGAATAGAGTGATCTGCAATGACACAACAGACATGTTAATGTTCATCATTTCCTTGTACATCCGTGAAAATATATTCTTAATGTTATATCCGGTATCTAAAGCATGCAATATAAATATACGGTATTAAGTAAACTTTTGGCATTACAAAGTTGATACTTTCACTTAAGCATGCAGAGGTAAAGTATGCAGTGAGGCACGTGAAAAGAGGAATGGTCTTTTTGAAGATTTATCCCTTCCATTTTTGATGCCAAAACGTAAATACGCAGTTTAACAACTTGGCTGCAGTCCGTCTGTAAATAAGATATATGAAGGTGTAATGATGACCACAATGTCGAATGATTCTGTAATGAAATGTGTTACCTTTAACAAGCAAAATGATGATGATGATGATGATGATGATGATGATGATGATGATGATGATTGACCAATAGTTTGTAGATAGTGTCGTTAGGGTATACATAGACCTTCTGATATTGTTGTTTTCACAAAACCGAGAATTTTATAAAATGGTTTACACAACAGTTTATAGACAAATATAAGACTGCAAGAAGTAAAACATGAGAAAATACACCAGGGCGTTAATAATACAGAACATTAAGTCAAATGTTTATATAAACGGACAACAACGGGAACCAGGGTAATACCAATATATAACGTAAGTGATCAGACACCTTACACAGAAGAGACCAATCGGGATCGTAATGTTCGCCTATGCCAAAGACAGGAAAAATTGCTCTATGTTTGGTTAATGGAAATTTGTAAAAAACAAGAGGTTGTCATTTTGGATTGTGAATCAACTCAATAAATGACAGCAGCACTTCATGGCCAGGGAAGCATTTTCATATCAGCTTTGGTTACCCCACGCCTGGTAGGAATAATGAAGTAAATGTGCTACAGTCAAACATGGGTTAGTCATGCCATATTCAGTCAAAACCTCATAAGGTCTTCCAGAAACATGCCGATATGAACCGATTTAAACATACAAAAGATGTTGAAAATGACCTCCTACAAATAGCATTTAGAACAACGTCCTTAGAACGCTTTTGACAAAATCATCAATACTGTCAAATTGTTTTCAGAAAAAAAATGTTTTAAGTATTATAAGTACGACAAGCGTAGGATGTGTGGTAATTATTGTGAAAATCTATTGTAAATTATTCAAATTCTTCAAAACTGACATTAAAGTAAGTGGGAAAATCTAGATAGTTGTAGCTCAAAACTATTTATAGGTGTCTTTTCGTTATACTGTTTCTAGATATGTTTCGGAAGACTTTTAACATAGATATTCATTCTTTTGACCTTAATAACATTGAGTTCTGAATGAAAGAAATGACCATATGGAGGAATAACACTGATTTTGTTGTTTGGCTTTCTGTATCAACATGTTTTTCAAAATACATTCTTTCTTGCGTCTTTTTTCTAGTGATGAATTAGTACAACGTAAAAATGGAATAAACCTGAATTTGTTATCCCTCTCTCTTCGCTCATTTTGACAAGAAACGATGGAGTCAAATAGTTTTAAAGCCGAGTTTTAAGTTAACACCCGGTACTTTTGATTAATTTAGTCTGTAACAGGTAGAGCACGAAGCTTGTAATGATCAGCATTTCCGGTGTCCCATTTCCTGTAAGACTAGATCAGAAATATGGCAATATGTACTATTTCCTATTTTTCTGTGATTTTTTTGAGGAATAGCCAATGATACGCCTAACAAATTGAGAAGTGAATCCATTAATGAATGCCATTACCCTNAGTCTGTAACAGGTAGAGCACGAAGCTTGTAATGATCAGCATTTCCGGTGTCCCATTTCCTGTAAGACTAGATCAGAAATATGGCAATATGTACTATTTCCTTTTTTTCTGTGATTTTTTTTAAGGAATAGCCAATGATACGCCTAACAAATTGAGAAGTGAATCCATTAATGAATGCCATTACCCCTTATCTATAGTGTTGCCTCGCCATCTATCCGGAATATCTGGTTGA